TGGATTTATCTTGTGTTTACACCGACTAAACCGGTTTGTATTCCTTCAATCCTTACTTCGAACTATTTTTCAAGGGGGCCCCAACCCTCTATTCTTCATCCTTTTCCGAATTGAACACCATACTTGGGATTTGCAAGTAGTTCTTTCTAATCTGGTTAGTCCAGAGGTCTTGATGTTCATACCACTTCTATATCAGAGTCTACTATAGAGGCTTATCTTGTGTTTGCGCCGACATGCACCGGTTTGTATTCCTTCATCCGGGTTTTCCTCAAATGAACGCTCTACTGTAGATCTTGTTACACCACAGTACTCCCAGGAGCAGTATCCCTGGTCCACGCCCTTTCGGTTATAGCATATGATGCCACTACAGATTAAGTTGACATATCCAGAAGAAATATACAAGGAGTAGTTTTCAAATTTTTCGTCACCGATAGGATTCGAACCCTAGACCTTACTACTTGGGGGGTGACAACTCTACCACTTCACTATGTTGCCACACCCTCTATATGCAGTAGTAATCAGAGGCTACAACTACTAAAAATTTCTATAAAAGAAATAGTAACACATCTGTTACCTTTGAGCTTCATGATGCTACCCAACTATATTAACTACTAGAAGCATTTTGCAAAACATACTTGGGAACTCGTTATCATATTGGGAAGTACAGTCATTAGCATCATTAGAAAAAAAATTTTTAATGCTGTTCTGTGCAGATTTGTAAAAAAATTAAATAATATATTAAATGAAAATCTGTACAAAACTTCAGACTCACCAGCTATAGCTAAAGAAATTAAATACAGTTCTGCACAAAATTTCAAAATATAAGAAATTTTGCAGTTTTTTTGCAAAAAATTCTGCAAAAATCTGCATTTTCACAGGTTTTTGCAGATCTGCACTTATTTAATTCTCCTGATGATAGGCTATATGTAGCTATATTATTAATATAATTTTTTTATAAAAAAATTTTGCAAATATATTAATATTAGTATTAAAGTTGGGTTAGAGTTAGGATTCAGAGTTAGAGTAGAGTAAAATTGCAAGATAAGCATTTTACTTAGTTACATGACAGGGTACCTTAGTAAAATTTAAGTTATTATAGAATTAAAAATATAGCCATGGCTATAAACTCATATCTTGATGAATTTTGAAGCTATTTTTATAATTAAAAACTTAGTAAAATACTGTATTTATACAAGTACATATTTTTGTTTAATTTGGCCAAATAAATTTTTTTTTTGCTATCAACAGGTCTGGCCATAACTCAACCTTTTTTATTAATATTTATATAAAACAAATATACTAAAATTTAGATTATAAGCCCGACTCCATTCCATAACCTTGCAGTACAAAACCTAATGCCAAAACCAAAAGCAACCTGTTCTACCAGATTTCAGAGAACTAAAATTATCCCAACAAAGATCTATAAAAATATGAAAATGAGCTATAACTAAAAAGAAGATATGAAAAAAGAGAAAAGGAAAAATAAACAACATAAAAAAACCTCGAAAAAAGAAGAAAAAAGAGAAAAATAAAAAAAATTTATAGAAGGAGGATAAGAGTTTGAGGAGGTTTTCGCTCTCTACATAACTGAAATACACTATTATAATCTGTGCAAGGCTAAAAATTATATAACAAATGCAATGATTATATATCTCTACTATAAAGCTTTGCCTTAGCATATAATGATTTTTTTGACTTATAACCACTTTTAGATATTTCTTTAACCAGAGATTCTAATTTAACTTCTCTAAAGTAGTACTGTATTCGTAAATAGACATATCACATGGTTGTATTCTACTGATCTATTCGAATTTGAAAAGTAAACAATATTGATCTTTTGAAGAGGTAAGCCAAATTTCCACTTTTAAAATAATTTTTTTTTAAATTATATATAAGGCCGTTTGAAGTTATAATTTTATTTAATATTCCTTTTGAAGCTTAAGTACAGTGGGAGGAAGAAGCCAAATTAAACAAACATTATATAACACCTCAAAAAAACCACTATTATTATTGGTTGATTTGTAGTCATATAATTTATTGAAACCTTAAAGATATAGCAGATGTTCTGATTGGCTTGTTTAATTTCAGAGAGAGCTATTGGAGGCAGTAGGAAGAAAAATATTAAACGAAATTGTAACTTCAAACTGCCTAATAAAAATAAATAAATATTAATTAGGTCACACCAAGCTAATTATTCATTTAACATAACCCTCCTCTAATTTTTATAAATATAATACATGATATTAACCAATCAAATTGCAGCATTGATTTTTTAAGTTTTTTAAATTTTTTCAGCCAATAAAATTGCAGTGATTTTTTATTTTTATTTTTTTTTCACTTCTCCCCCCTCTCTATAAAATATTTTATATTATGTTAAACAAAGAATCTGCTTGAAGTGGCTTTATGGGGAATTATACTAAAATTTGAATTATGTTGAAATATTATATAATATATAAAAAATATTAATTAAAAATAAAACCTCTAAACCCTAACTCCAGCCCCCCAAAAAATTGTACTATATATTTTACAGAAGTAAACCCAAATTTTAAAAAACTTCATATTTACTAAATCATAATTCGGGCCAACTGGCCCAAAATTTTTTATAATTCGGGCCGGCATTTCAGCATGATCCAATTTTAGCATAATCTATCACATTAATTTTTTTTATTTAAAAAGTAGTATAGCAATAACTTAGACAAAACAAGTTATTAACATATTAACTTTTTAAATAAAAATAGAAACAATATATTTTTTGCAATATAAATCTTTATTTTTTTTATTTTGTTTTATATATTTTGAAAAAAATGCTTAAATTGCATAAAAAAATTTGATATAGCTTGCTTATATAATTTTATTACCTAAACATTTCAAAATACAAGTATTATACTAGTCAACTCAACAAAGTAACTATTTAAAATCTCATACTTTCGATTATATATACCGTATATATATTGTTATTTGCTATTTAAGCTATTATACTATATATACAGTATAAAAAATAAAGACTGTGCTTGGATAATTATTCAGTAAATATTGCTTTATAAAGTAATATATCTTAGTGTAGCAAGAAAATTGCTTAGTAATGGCTAATAACATGATATAATTTATCCGTTATGATAGCTTTGGTTTTTTTTTTAAAAAAAACATATTTTGTAACAATTATAAGCAATGCCACAAGTTCCGGTAACACAGCAGATGATTTGTGAATAACAATTATATAAATAGATAAATCAGGCAATAAATTAATTCACCCCTTTTTAACTTTTGATTCAACTGTTCTTTGTTATTATTAATACAAAAATTTTAAAGTATTATTCTGCTGTTTCTTTTCATAAAAAGTTGAAAAAAAAATAATAATACAACACGATTGACAGGTTGGTTTATTAGAAAGTTTAATAATTGCTTAAAAAGAAGCTTTTTGCAGAGATTATAGAATAAAAAATGGTTGAGGCTAGTAGAAATGAAAACTTCTTATCGTATATGCCTGCCTTGAAAAGAAAAGAAAACTTATACATAAATAACGTTATAGATAATGGAATTATTATCAACAATTATAAAATTGGTATTATTGTATTACTATTATTACTAGCAACGATCTGGCACAACGACCGGCCCAATGGATGGTTTTGGAGATCGCAGTTCTTTCGAATTCGAATTGACAAATGTTCACCAACTTCAGGGTCGAGTCTGTAGCCCACGATTTGAAACCATGCCAAATATTTTTTGGCAATTGGGATTTTTACTTGTAAGTTACTTTAAATAAATTTTTCAAAAAAGTAAATTTTTCAAGTATAAATTATAGATATTGATATGTTATTGCATTACGACGAATTTGAGAAGTTTGAGTATTTGACTAAAATCATATGGAACCATCTTCTCGTGAAAAGATGAGTTAGATGTTATCCATATGATTTTACAATAAGAAATGTCAAAAAAAAAACCATAATAAAAATAACGCATTTCATAGTCTAGTCAAATACTCAAATTTCGCAAATTCACCGTAATGATACATATATTTTCTTATTAGGAATCACCAAATGATCCGGAATATTGTGCTGTGTATCTCCATGCAATTTGTAATACGGATGAAGTGGAAGAATATGATCAATCTAGAAATGATTGTTTGCCTGCTAGAATGTATTTAAAGGGACCCGGCGGAGCAATTATCAAAGAAATGACTACATCTTCAAGGTTCAAGTTTAAGACAGTCAAGGTCAGGAGATTGCGTAAGTAAATAAAAAATTTTTATTAAGCGAAAATTTAGAAAGTGGTGGTGATGACTTACTATTTTAAAAAATTGTGAAAGAAATATTAAGCATTAAAAAGAATTTATAAAACAGGTATAGCACAATTTTGCAGACGTTCCAGGCTTACTAATAGCCTTATTATTGGAGTTAGATTGAAGAATACACAGCTTGGAAATAATTTCTTTAGAAACTTGTCTTTTCATAAACCTGTTCCGATCAAGCAGATTCCCAAAAATTTGATATCTGCGTGGAAGAACGAGTTTCAAAAACCTGAATCGGGTGATGTTAAAATTACCATTCAAGGGCAGACTATTTTTGCGAGCAGCTCAATTCTTGCTAGACGTTCGGAATATTTTCAAAGAATGTTTAATGGGTCATGGTCAGAGTGTAATCAATCTATTATCAATGAAGATGCTGGTATTGAAACTGATAATGAAACTGATAATGAAACTGATGCAGAAACAAATTCACAAAAAAAAGCCATAGCTTGTCGACAATATCGGTATTCAATTGATATTCCAGATTTTGATTATCAAACCACCCTTCAAATGCTCATATATCTCTATACTGATCAAGTGGATATTAATAATTGTCCAAATGTTTGGAATCTTTATACCATCGCCAACAAATATCTTATTTCAGGCTTGGAAATGGAGGCAAAATTAAAAATTCTTGAGGGAATGAATGTTGATACTGCGGTAGAAGGGTTGTTTAGTAATGCGTGGAAATGGCCTGATCTGAAGAAGAGGTTCTTGAGATTCGTTGTCGATAATTTTTTACAAATTAGGAATAGTCAAGTATATAGGGATATTGTAGCAGACCGCTCGAAATATCCAATGTTTCTTGAGTTAAATAGCGAAATTTTATTGGCATTTGTTCCTGAATCGGTGGAATCATGAAAGAAGTGTTATAATTCTTAGATTTCTTTTTTTTTTATTTTCAAGAAATTTGTGCATTAATGAGCTAATACTCTGAAATTTCGACTGTGATGATACATTGATACATTTAGTATCTCGACAACTATCGGAAATGATTGTTGTCGATATACGTACGTTTTAATCAAAAAAAAACTTGGGTTTATTCCAATTTTGTTCAATGCCAGGTGGCATTAGACAAGTTATTTTTTCTTGCTCAAGTAAATTCCAGCCAGCATTGAAAAAAAGCCATACATAATTTTCCAATGCCGAAGTGACATAAAAATTTAACGACCTTGCTATTATTTTATAGAGCAAAAATAAATAGACAAGCAATACTCGTTAGATAGTAAGATGTTCAAGTACATCTTTTTTTTTAATTGACGTTCGGATAGAGCTTTGAAGTAGTAGAATATTTAAAACACTATGGCCAAAATATGAATAAATAGTTCACATATTTCCATACAGACATTGTAAATGAAGGTATTTAATTCACAATCCATAAGAAGGATAGGATTTATAAATTACTTATGTTTTTTATATAAGGATGAAATATTTTTTCCGCTACACTTATATAGTTACAAAAACTAATCTTTTTATCTACTAAACCAATTTTAATAATTTTTTTATATTATATATAAAAAAGTTTTCTTTTCATTTTTAATTAGAAAGTATATTAATATAATAAAAAAAAAAAATAGCTATGGAGAAAAACAAGATTTCATAATTATAATAAATTTAATAGTAATTTGCGCCTATGAAATAGCAATTAAATTTTATTAACAATGGCTTATGATATTAATCATCATTGCGAGGGCAACGAATAATTCATTCCTTTGAGTACGTTCTATATGTTCTCCTAATTTCATGAGATTTTTGTGTTGGCCGGAAAAACAGAAAAATTCTAAGTTAGGTTGTTACATGAAGTTATCATATAGCGTTTCTTGAGGGTTCTTGTGCGTGAACAACTCATAATTGATATTTCAGTGCATAAAGCCTTGAAATTTCCGAATCTAGACAAGCAATCAAGATCATGTAGTAAATTCCAATAAGTCATTTTTATTAGAAAATTTAATCGATAATACACGTTTGAATTTTACATATTTTTTTTAAAAAAGACTAACAAAAATCTATATCTTAAATCTGTGCCAGGTTATGTCGTAAAATTTTGAAAAAAGCCAATAAAAAGAAAAATCGTAAATAACTAAAAACCTGCACTATAATCTAACGTTTAATCCTTTCGATTTTAATTGCTTTAACGATCACAGTTTTCATATATGGAAGACATTTGGATACTAAATTCTTCACCTTATTTAAAAGAGACGCGAAACCTTTCGTGCATACAATCAATCGGCAACAATCTAGTTATTTTACCATAAATTAGTTATGATACATCAGTAGGAAACTTTATCATTTTGTATAAGAATATGTTTCTGTAATCAAAAAATAAATAAATAATTGCACTAAACCCTGCCTTTTTCTCCTAAGGCAAGGTGACGTCTACTTATTTTTTTTTTTTTCTTTGATCTATAATTGAAAAATAAACAAGGACGTTCGCAATAACTGTATGCATCCCGTTCCTTCTTAAGGAAACCTTCAAACATAGAACCAAGATAATAACCGAGATAGTAACCTCTAAAACCTGGAAGAAGAAATAAACGTTTACAACAGGCCGTCCACAATATATTAAATCTGGTTAGGCAACTGTCACAAGCTGTGGTCCGACACGCTTCTAGATTCTCCAACCTTGGTTAAACCTTTCGTGCATATGTCGTAGATGGGAACAGAATTTAAGTTGATTTGGAATTTTTAAGGTTAGAGTTGGGATTTTTAGTACAATTATTCCGTTTATTCCGTTCCAATCTAAGTGGATTCCGAACCTATTATGATTCCATTCCTACTTACAACATATATAATAATATTAAATACAAACATTTACGTTTAAATTGTCACGGCTGATGCTAAAATTGACTAATGCTGAAATTTGAACCTATTTTTTGTTATGAAATTTAAAAATTCTTTTTTTAGAGTTTGGTTTGAATTGATAATTAAAGAGTATACGTAGATTTTAGCAGGGTTTATATTTTCAATCAAGACCCCAAACTCAACATCAACCGTAACATTATTTAAAAAGAAAAGTTTTTAAGAAGTTATTAGCATAAAAAACATAATTTAATGCAATTAGCAAGCATAATTTAGCATCTTTAGCAGCATAATTCTGGACACCCTATACATCACCTTATATATAATCGAGGTTAGACATTTTCCAGCTTTTCCTGTTCCTTTGTAATATAAAAAAATATAAAAATTAATTACAAGTGTATATCATATTATGATGATAAAGAATATTATACTTAGAATAAAAGTGCAGAAGTGAAAAAAAGCGTGAGAAAAATGATAAATATTATATAACTGTTTTGATTTACTGTTTTTGATTCTGGTGTGTAGGGACGTCCTGAACTCGAAGTTCTTAAATCGCGTAAAACACGTGATATTTAAATTGGTTTTATATCTTGAACCGGACCTCTAAATAAGACCGCTAAATAAATTCGTTCCATATCCAAATCCTGTATAAATGTACTAGAGTGTCCAGAATTATGATCTGGCATAATATCCGCATAATTTGCCTTATACGCAGCATAATTTAAAGAAGCATGCGCTTCTCTTATGAATAAAGATATTCTATTGGCAAACGGACATCATTTATGTTGACAAAATTCAGTTAAACAGAATAGTAGTACTGTATTATTGCTGACATGACCTAGAGTTTGGAACCGGCTTTAACATATGAAAATAAAACCGGCTTCAAACCAACCCTTCAAACCCTAAGTCGGCCTAATTATACTATAACGTCAGCCTAATTCTGGGTATATAGTGTTGTAATTTATGTAGCATGAATATGTAGCGCTGGTCAAACTATCAGTATCTGGTATCGGTATACTTTTAAAAATTAATTCTAACTCCAAATGTAGTAACAATTATCAATTGAGTAATTATTTTAACTCTCCTAGTATTACTAGCATAAAAAATTTCGCTATAATGGTACAAGATTAAAGTTAGGTTTTTCTATTAGAAAGACTTTAATAAAATCAAAATTTTCTCAAGAAAGCCTTTTGTTAGTACACAGAAGGTGGTTTAATAGGTAAAACGCTAAGTTATGATTTTTGCGACCTTGGCCAACGAAAATGGCAACATTGGAGCAGTGTATAATTTTCAGCCCTAATTCTGGGCCCGCATAATTTTTTGTAATTGCCAGATCATAACGATAATTTTTGATTCTAAAATGTACTATGTTTTCATGTGATTTAAGGACCGATACTAGTGTGCTTATTTGATAGAAATTTTAGACAATCAAAAAAATGTGAAATCAGCCTGACACTGTACAAAGCGAAGATAAACAGAAAATACAGAGGTTAAACTAGTGATTTAACCCGGTTATCACTTAACCGGTTAACCAGCCTGATTAGATAAGTATGATTGAACAGTAAAGAACCAATCGGTTGTTTTAATTAATATCGATATGTTTAATGATTCCAGCTTAAGATCATTTTATTCATATTGTCCAGTGTTAAAAGATTGATACCTCAAAAATTTAATTAAAAAGTACTCTGATAAAAATTTTTATAATATAATTAAAAATTTTTTACTAGTTAAATAATTATATTTTATAGCACAAATAGATGAGAGCTAAAAAAAAATTACAAAAAAATTTTTCTTAAAAAAATGAATTTGAAAGTTCAAAGCTTGCTACTACACAAGTAGCTAGCTAGATTCAATAAAAAAAGAATTGCTAGATAAAAAGTTATTAAATATCAAAGTTGATATATTTGTGTTAAATTATTAATTTACTATACAGTATATATTATATATAATTTATTAATAAACTAAGCTTAAAAATCTAAAAAACATATCCCAATTATCCCAGTTTTTGAAATGGTAGAAATGAGTAAAAAAATTTCTCTAGTATACCTGTATAGTGTGTATACTCATATGGGTATACTTGAAAAAAAATTTTTTTCCTATTTTCAACTATTTGAAATCTGCAATAAATTAAAAAAATAAATTTAAAAATAAAATAAATAAAATATTTTTTTATTAATAGATTACTATAAAATTTTTTATTTTTGAATATGCTAAAATTTATTTTAAAAGTTGCTAATAATAAAAATTTTATTTTTTATATAAAATAATTGAATAAATTATATTAAATTCTTTTCTATCTTCTAAAAAAAGATTTTAAATTAAAAAAATTTATTAATAAAAAAAAATTATTATTAATATTATCAATCTTTTTGCACTGATCTATATTAATCTATATACTAGATTTAAAGTAAGCTAATATTTATTTTACTTATATTAATTTAGACCATGAATACGTATAAAAAAACATTCTCTGAATGTGAGAATAATGCGAATCAATTCATGATTGAATTAATTCTGTCTAATAGCAATAATATACAGTAGGTGCCACTAAGAGAAAGCCTGTTAAGTCCAAATTTAAATTTTCATTGTATCAACTTTTAAAAATAGATATATTGTGTAGTTTAATTACTGTATAATCAATATAATATCAACATTAGAAATGCAAATTATGACAGTATAATGTAAAAATTTTATATATAGAAAATTAAGTACGTACGAGCATTTATTTGGACCATGTCGGCATTGATTTTTGATATGAAACCGCTTAGGTACTTAAGCGGTTTCATATCAAAAATCAATGCCGAAATTATATATAGACGTTCCAAACTTACACATGCCGTGGAAACTATTTCGACATTAACTTTGACATGAAACCGCTTGAGTATCTCAGCCGAAATAGTTTCTATGGCGTATAGACGTGCCCAACTTAAAACATGTCGTGGAAATTATTTCGGTATGTATAGACATACCCAATTTATACATGCCGTGAAAACTATTTTGGCATTGACTTTTGATATGAAACCGCCTAGGTACCTCAGCGGTTTCATATTACAGCTGTTCTC